CCACTGGATGTCAAGGAAGAAAGCCGCGTTGTTCTTTTGGCCTGAATCCGCCTCCAAGGTGGTTTTCAATCTCACACTTTTCAAGGTTTTTCACAAAATTGGCATGGCCATTTATGTAAGGTTTTGTGCGTGAATTAGGTTTGTGAGGCTTGCTTGCATATAAGGGAATGATTCTAGGTCAAAACATGGGCCAATATCCTTGTGTATTCAAGAATTAGGATTTGATTTTGATCACCATAACCATGTTTCCAAATATAGGAAAGATCTGATTTTTTGTGCTTGAATGAGCCTTGGCACGAGTTGGTTGGTTGTCACATGATATTTGCAAGCTGTACAAATCACAAATATCCCTTTACATTAATTTTTGGATTTTATTTGATTTAATATTGATTAATAATGAATTAAATCAATAAAAAATGAAATAAAATAAAAAAATAAATGTTTGGTCATGAAATTAAAGATGGGACACGTGTGTGGCATGACAAGACTAAATCAAGTGGAAGAAAGTGGGCCCTTTTGTCAAAAATTGGAGTTTTGAGGATAGTTGACTTTTGGCAATTTTGGAAAAATGCCCAACTTCAACAATGCATAACTTCTTCAATTTTGAACTTTTGGAGGTGTTCTTTGACTTTTTAGAAACCTTGAGATGTCCTCTAATCAACCCATTTTGTCGCATCTCATTTTGATCTTCCATTCTCAAGTTATAAGCTTTGGAAAAAAAAGTGTTTTTGTTGACTTTCAAAAATGACCTATAATGTCCAAATTTGTAACTTTTTATGAGAGCATTTCTTGATCTTGGGGTGTGAAGATGGATTTTAGGAAATTGCATCCTCTTCAAAATAAGCTTTGGATGGGTTATTTCTCACAAAGTATGAGAAAGTTATGCTTGGTCAAAGCTGAGTTGACTTTTCCTGCAAAACCCTAATTTAGCAACTTTTGAATCTTGATGAATTTTGAGCAATCCTTGATGAATCATGATCAACCCTTGATCAAATGATTAATTATCCTTAAAAATGAGAATGTTGACAAAAAATCTGGAGGTTTGACTATTTGTAGATCACATTTGACTTTTGCCCTAGCACAATCGCTTTTTGGGTCTCTTGAGCAATTGACTGACCAAAATTCCTCTGGAAGGCTTGAGATTTGACATGGATGGACTTAAGAACATATTAAGGCATTGGGAAGCACTTGAGGCCATTTGGATATAAGGACCTTGATGCAACACAAAACCCTAATTTTGAATTGACTGCCTTAGAAGGTGATTTGACTGTACAACCCTTGAGCCATTTTGAGCAATATGAAGATCATTCTTGACAAATCTTGAGGAATATGGAAGGAAAAATTTTGGGGTACAACAGTATCAATACATACAATGTACAAAACATGAAGAGAAACAAAAAAATATTTTTTTGGATTTAAAGGTTAGTAAACATGAAACGCGCATATAAAAGATACACAATTTAAGGTGTTTGGTGATCCCTCAAAGACAAATTTAAAAAGAGGAGAAAGTAGAAGCGATAACCAACTCAAATGTGTGATCTTAGTGCATTGTGAAGATATGGAATGATGCAAGATCTTAGGGGCAAAATTGAGGGTATAACACCAAGTCTCTTTACAAACTCTTTACCACATTAACTTTCTTGAAATCATCTACTCCAATATCATAAATCATGTTTTCTAGAGTATCATTCATAAATTCACCATCTTCAATTGTATGTGACATAGGTATAATTTTTGTCACTTCACTATGGCATACCTTTTTCGTGTAATTTTAAATAATTCCATCACAACCTAAATAATTAAATATATTTTTCTTTAGATGGTTTTTCGTATTAAATCAATTTTCACAAGGACACCAAAAAATTCCATTACCATTTGGAAGATTTTTCTGTGAAATCAAGAAATTGTATCACTCTATTCTCAAACTCTTTATTTAATCTATTGGCTTTCATCCAACTACAATCCATAATCCCATAAAGCTTCTAAAATAAAAAATAAAAAAATAAAGCCAACAAAACTGTAAACAACAAGACAGTCTCGAAATAATAACAACAACAACAACAACAACGACAACAACAACTACAACAGTAAAAACAATTATAACACCAATAATTGAGAATTTGTACATATCAGAAATGTGACGATGGAACTAAAGGAAAGGTCTTGGTTTGAACTTCCTACCTCATATGAGAAGAATGATATTCTTTCGTTCGCTAGAACTTAAAAAATTTACAGAATTTTTATCTCAGTTTTATAAAAAACTGAAAAAAAGTATCTAACGTAAAATATATAAAAAAATCAGTTGATATACGTGTTAACAAAATACTTACCAATAAAATGATTCACCAACTTATTTGCATGTTAGAAATGAATAATAATAGATTCATCATGAGCTTTAGAGAGAGTGTTATAAATACTATATTATAAATAACAATTTGTAATAATACTATGAGACTTACTAAGTAGAATTATTTTCTGACGTTATGATTACAATTTTTAACATATCCTAACCTTATTTTACAAAGCTGCGACTTTAAGGACTAAGGAACACATTACATTGTGTAGCGGAGCATCAAATTACAGCCAAAGTTTGTAATCATGTTCGGATATCAAATAAGTAATAGTGAAGATATCACCACTAGTGTCCAGCACCTGGACTAGGAACAGAAGATACTAGAACTCTTCCATTGTTAGCAAGATGAGCAACGAGTCTTCCATTTCTATATATATTGAGATTATTAAAAACATCATCTAAAGGTAGGGTGTCCTTTATAGAAGGCAGCTCTTGTGTCTCCATTTTGAGAATCTTTCGAGCATCTATAGAAGACGGTAAGGAATATATGATCAAGAAAAGGAGAGTGAGAAGTAAAGCAGAATTCAAATGAGCCATGTATAGAGAGGACTAAAAGACCAAGATAATTGTTTTGTGTATTTGTTATGAATTGAAAAGAAGAATTGCATATGTGCTATTTATAGGATTTGGAGTCTAATACTTATCTCATGTGTTGAAACCAGGAAGTGTTGGTTTCTAGTATAATATTGAGAAACATTCATTTTAATTTCTTGCTTGTTTACTCGAACCTCCTTGGAATCTCTTGTAAAGTTGAATACTTTAATTCCACGTATGGCAATTTCTACGTCTTGTATATTATGGCCCCACTTAATGTAACATTATATAGTGCTTTTATTCTCATATGTCTCAAGGAGTCATCATGAAAATGGTTCATATTTTCTTTGTCAGTACATAATTATACATGTGAATTTCCTTTGACAAATGCAATGGATGTTGTAATACGGTAGAAAAATTGATTTGGGTATTTTGTGTTTTATCGCAATGTTGCGGATAATAAGAGTCGTCACCGACTTTTCTTTTATCTAATAAAGGAAAGGGTTTTGAGATATTTTCTTGAGTTCATGGGGTAGGTTATGAAAATGGAAGGTGTTAACACCCTTTTCATCTGTAGCTATCTACGTGCTCTTAGTTGTTAGCTCACTTTGAAAATTCTTTGTTTGAAATGTATTTGTGATTTTTTTTTGAAAGTATTTTTGAAAAGTGCATTTCGTTTATGCGAAATTTGTAATGATTCTCGTCTCTATAAGAATGTATATAAAGTGTTGTCTTTTTGAAAATATTTCATGGTTGAAAGTGTTGGTGTGTTTTGAAAGGTGTTGTTTTGAAAATGTTGTGAGCAAGGAACTATGAACGTTTTACCTACTCAAAAGGTCTTTGTTCATTTCCTCCTCCTCCTTTAGATATCGCTATCTTACCATTGATTGGTAAGAAGCCCTATCATTCGGATATGAAGGGACAGTCGCGAGTCATCGTACAGTCATAGAAGACAACTTGTAAGACGCTTTAGCAATTTTCGTAAGAGACTAAGATCATTTTATCGAAGGCAACGTCGAAGGGTCATCGAGGGACTACGATCTTTTTAATCGAGGGCATTTGCTAAAGCGTCCCACATTCAAGGGACATGACTGTTTTTCCGAGGCAACAAGCAAGGTTATCTTAGAGGTGCACGTGTGAAAAGTGTGTTTCATTCAAGCTAATTTGTCTTTGAAGTTAGAGTTATCTAACGATTGATTTTAAATCTTGCCATGCACGCCTAATTACTATACAATATAAAGAAAAACAGTAAATTACGGAAATTAAAATTCTACGCTATTACAAAACTTTCAGAAATGGGGAATATAAATTTACAAATGGGGATGGATCGAATCGACAATGCGATTAAAAATTTAGATAAACAATCAATACAACTCAATCGAATTAAAAATGAACAAATATTTAAACTAGCACAATCTATAAAGTTAATTAGAAAAATAAATAACACTATAATATTTTTGGTATTTTTTATTTGTGAGATATTTGGAAAGAAAATAAAGAATCTATTCTATTATTTTGAATTTTATCATGTAGAAATTAAATAATTTAAAAGAAAGCTAACTGAACGATAAAAAATGTTAATAAAATTATTCACAAAGTTCTAAACTAAACTAATTAATTTATTTTGAAATTATATATTTTTTATTTAATTGAATTTTAAGATGAAAACTAAATCTAAACTAATTTGTTATAAGGCTAAAAAGTTAAAACAAAAATAAAAATGTCTTGCCAAAGTGTCGAACTCAGGTCTCCTTGATTGCAATATACAGGCTTTGTCAAAAGGACTGTGCTAATTATCTGTTATTATTATGATTTGATTGAAATATAAGGTGAAAATTGATAATGGGATTGGGCCAAAAGGCCTAATAGGCCAACCCGGTTGGGAAAGAGGTAAGGAAAAAGTTTGGAAACCCTAAAATGAAGCAAAAGGCGCCGCTGGGAGTTATCATTGGAAAAGGAAATTTGATTTAATTATTATTGTAAGCTATGTTTCTTATGTTACTGAGTAAAACAAAAATAAGATTAAATAAAAAACTCTTTTCCCTACAAATCCTCATCTCTCTCTCTGCTCTATAAGCTTCACCGTAAAAGAAAATAAATCTCTCTATGCCATTCACAAATTTCCGTCTTCTATCCTTGTTGATTTTGTTGCCAACACACTTTTATTCTCTTTCTTCGATTTCTTCACAGTTCCGTTTTTCGACGTCGATGTCGTTGCAGTTGGCGTAGTGACACTTCTCATCCCGTTGTTTTCCTTCGGCAATGACACTGATTCTTCTTCCTCTTTATCAGCGTCTCCTCTACTATGTTTTGGAGAATTCAAGTCGTTCGATGCAGCTTCGTCAGAGGAGGGATCGAGCTCCGATTTGCCATCGTTTTGGGGTTCGGTGAGGGTGTCAGAATGGGTGTAGGCAGTGACGAGGTTCAAGTTTCGAATTCGGTGAGCGTAGGGAGTCCGATGAGATGATAGAGGCAATGATGATGACGATGATGATAGATACCGTGATAGAGAGGTGCGTAGAGATTGTGAAGGAGGTGGTGAGTCCGACGGTAGCAGATGGAGGAGGAGGAAGTGATGAGATGGGAAGCGATCAAGGAAGATTTTTTTTAAACAGGAAATATACTTCTTGGATATTTTACTCTTAGAATTATCTTTAAAGGAAAACCTCACAACAACATTTCTCAGTGTTACAAACATTCAACAAAAGACATAGAATTGAAAATGATTGATTGAAAGTGTCAAATTGAAGCTGAAGAAAGAATGTTGAATCCCAGAAATAGCAGTTGAAATGTTTGTGTCGTGAAATCAAAGAGAGACGGGAGTGTTGCGGAACAGAGCTGAGGTGCGGAAGTGTGACACAGAAGTTCTTGTTTTTATTAGCAAGGTTATCAATGTTATGGACAAAAATTTATCTGCAAGTTTAGTTTACAACACATTTAACCCTGTTTATACAATTTTATTTACCTTGTATGATGATTTCTTCTGTTTTGTTTCATTCAAATGAGCTGGAAATTAATGACTTATGATATTCCTATATTTCGGTTTCATTCTGAATTAATTCAACAAGTTTCTGGTTATGCTGGACATTATTTTCTAGGGCTAGTTGAATTGCAGGTTCTTTGTGCATAAACAGTGAAGCGCGGGTGGAGGTTGAGAGGTTAGATAGGCGGATGTGACCAGGAATTTAGCAGCTGGGTTTGTCATGGTGGAAGAAAAATACAAGTGGGTACCGTAGTAGATGAAGGAAGTTATGGGATGCTGTTAAAGGTTATTCTTGACTGCCTGAGTTAGATTTGTTTTGATTTCTTTATCTGAGTTTATATCCTAATTCACAGTTTTATAACTCTAAAGGGAAAAGTGAGTATTGTTTTTTTGAATAAATATATAATTCCTCTAATTTATATTGTTTCTATTATTTCAAATCCGGTCTTTCTTATGTTTATTATTATTATCACTATTGCTAAACATGTCTAAATGTCCATGTATTGCAGCAACTCAAAAATACAGCAAAGGAAAGTATGATAAAGCAAGCATTCATATGGCATAAAAGTGGTGCAGAAGAAGATTCAAACATGGGTATATGAGAAAGTTGTGCGGAAGTAAATAGGGAAGAAGAAATATCTATCGGAGTCTCTCCGATGGAGCTTCCAAATAGCAAGTTTTATCTCCTTGAATTTTATGTTTTGTTGGTGCCCAAACCTCTCTTACTCTTATTCTTGTTGTTAAAACTTTGAACAAACTTCTCTCTTTTTTCTGTTTTTTTTCTCTTGCTGAATTTTTCTGTATGTTTTTTTTTTCCGGATTTCTTCCCCTTTTTCCTCTTCACACAAGGTCCTTTTTATAGGCACATTGGAGTGAGATTTGGAGGTAAAACTGATGAGTTTTTGAATTATTTTGGCCTACTGTTTTGATGCTTTCTTCACAAAATTTTCTTTAGCCATATTGATGTAATTTTTGGGCTTTTATGATGCAGGGCAGCAAGTTGTTAGCAGACTATTTTACAGCAGATTTATAGTTGTTTGTTCAGCAGGTTTTGGACTAATTTGGTTGCTATTTTTTGGATTGTTTTGGTTGCTATTTTTGGACTGTTTTGTAGCATTTTACAGCAGTTTTTGGGACTATTTTGCTGCTGAAACAAGGCTGGAAAATGGGTTGTATGTGCAACTACTGTTGGGCTGATTTACAACAATTTATTGGGCAAAATTTTAGAATATTGGAAATAATAGTTTGTACATACTTGTAATTCCTTTTGTCACTTTGTAGTGATAATTCCAATAAAATTGTAACATGAATGAAACTTGTCTTGAATATATTTTCTCAATTCTTTTGTAATTGTAAACATCTTGGATCTTTATTTGTTTTGATGAAATTCCAAAATCTTCAATTTGAATTTGGAAAGAAATGATTGATACTTGAATGAATTTTTGAATGATGAATAATGATGAATTAAGCGAACATGAGTGAAACTTGAACTAAGCCTTGAATAAGTCTTGTACTCTTGTTATTTGTTTCTAAATGAATAAATCTTCCCACCTTAAAATATGGATCCATTTGAGAAATTTGTATCAAAAATAAATCCCTTGAACGAACTTTGAATGGACCTTGGATTATCTTGACAAATCTTCAATTCCAAATCTCAACGACAAATTCAAATCACCTTGAAATTCAAGCTAACAAGTATTTGATGAGACCAAAAATTATATCGACCAAAATGAATTACAACTTGTACTTCAAACCCGCCCCAATCAATGATGCCTTCCTGAATTGAGATTAGGAGCCAAACCCTTTTTTAAAGTCAAGAATTGACCTATAACGTTTCGATAAGTTTCAAAACCTTCTAAGCATAATTTGACACCGATCTTTAAAGAAAAATATAGATGACATTCCTTACTACAACGTGCAAACAAAAATAATCGTCTCAAGATCTTGAAAATTGAGGAAATTAAGATTCTTGGAAGTCAGGCTATAGTTACTTGAGATTAGGTCAAAAATCTAGAAAGTGGCCTCTAAAGTATTCGAATTTTGAAGATCTTTCGCACATAATTTGCTCTTGACTGGTAAAGAGAAATTGGAGATGACGTCAAGGAGAGTCATATGCAAAAAGAACCACTCAAAAAATAAAACAATAAATAAGTTACAATTGTTTGAACTTGATCTTGAAAAGGTCGACTTTTGGGTCAATGCAGTTCATTTTCAGTCATCTAAGCCATTAACTGAGAAAACTCGGAATGCAATTCTTGAAACTTGGCACGAGCATCCTTGAGAATACATGAAGAACCACGAAGACTATTTGAAACCTTAGAAACTTAAATTTTCTTGAGAAGTACCAAACCCTAGTTGCTGACTCAATGCCTAGGAAGAGAATCTGTCTGATCAAACCCTGAGCCATTTTGAGTATTTGAGAAACCCTAGGAGAACATCTTGAATGAAAAATGGGAGGGAAAATTTTGAGGTACAACAGTTTCCCCTGTTCAATCTTCTTAAACCTGAAGAGTTAGATTGGCATATCTGCCATTTGTGACTCGAAGGTGGAAGATGATTGAACACTAGAGTGCCCAGAAATTTGCACTCGCTTGTGCCAGAAGTAACGCTTTGGATTTAATGTATAGGGAATGGGATAATAGATTCCATTTGGAGGGTGATAGAATATTGTCGGAGATGGGCTTATAGATGCCATCTAGAAGTGATGAGGAGTCGTCGGAGATGGGCTTATAGATGCCATCCAAATGATTTTTGATAGAGATTGGAAGAAGTATCAGGTAAATATTTGGTTGATTTATACCGCAATAGGAGATGTCTGTATTTGTTTTTTTCTGGATAAGAATCACAAAAATCTTAGGGTCGATTTGAATGAACCAGACAAAATGTCTACCAGAACAAAATCAGGATAAATCATTGGTCGATTTAAACTGAACCAGCAGAGGTTTTGAATAATCTTTAACTGGATAACTAATCAGTATAAATCTTAGGAGCGATTTAACTGAAATAGAGAAAGTTTCTACCTGAATGGAATCAGGTTAAATCACCGGTCGATTCAAACTGAACTAGCAGAAGTCTTGAAGGAAGCGTTTGTCATGTAGATAGTCGCCCCGTCCTGTTTTGGGAATTGATCTACAATCAATTTGTTGGTAAACCCGTCCTATTTCAAGAGTTCATACCATTGGTAATAAAGATAGTCGCCCCGTCTTGTTTCAGGAATTGATCTTTATCTGACCAAAGAGAAAGAAAGATAGTTTCCCCGTCTTGTTTCGGGAGTTAATCTTCAATCTACTCATGTAGATAGTTGTCATGTCTTGTTTCAGGAATTGGTCTTTATCTGACCAAAGAGAAAGAAAGATAGTTTCCCCGTCTTGTTTCGGAAGTTAATCTTCAATCTGCTCATGTAGATAGTTGTCCTATCTTGTTTCAAGTATTAATCTATAATTAGTTGTTCACAGATAGTTGTCCTGTCTTGTTTCAGGTATTAATATGGAACCTGCTTTTTGTTGGTCGTAGAGATAAGTGCACTGGCTTATTTCGGGAATTAATCTCTTACCTATTTGAGAAATGTTGGTGGTATTTGCCTGTTGATAACTGGAAGAGAATAAATTTGCACCAGAAGAGGTTCTTCGCTTGCCTATTTTTAAACTGGAAGAAGTATATCTAACCAGAAGAGGTCTTTTATTCGCCTGTTTTTAACTAGAATAAGTAAATCTAACCAGAAGAGGTCTTTGATCCGCCTGTCATTAACTGGAGGAAGTGAATCTATCCATAAGAGGACTGTTCATTGCCTAATATTAACTAGAAGAGGTGAATCAATCCAGAAGAGGACTTTTGTTTTGTTGATTGACTTTTCCTGCAAGGAAGAGGGTTAGTTGCATGCAGATCTATGCATGGCTTGATGATGTTCTCAAAATAAATGAGATTATGATGTGTGCATTTATCATGTATGTAATATGATGTATGAATGTGAAATATTGTTGAAATGTATCTATGTCTTGGAAAATAAATCCTTGACAAATGTCGGGGAGTCTTAGGAAGTTAAATCTTGGACTGCTGTTAAAGAGTATGTGTATCTTTAAACTCTGTTTAGGGTGTTTCTGTCGGGGATTCCTGTTTTGTTGTTTGAGGAAAACTCCGCTGGGGAACATTGACTTTGCTTGAGGGAAACTCTGTGGAGAGTGTTGATTTCTGCTCGGGGAAAAGAGTTCAGGAGTTTTAGTTGTTAGTTGCTCTACTGGGGAGTTATCTCTTGATTGGAGAGAATGGAAGTTAGCTGTTATCTGGTCGGATCCAGGTTTCACAACAATTTTTTGGGGATAATAAAGTTAAATGTTATCTGGTCGGATCCCAGGCTTCGCAACAACTTACTGGAGAAGATGAAATTAACTATTATCTGGTCGGATTCCAGGCTTCACAGTAACTCAAACTGTTATCTGGTCGAACTCGAGGCTTCACAGTAATTTTTTTAGAAATATAAAGTTAAACTGACATCTGGTTGGATTCCAGGCTTTGTAGTAACTTAGGTGAAATAAATCTATTATCTGGCCGGGTCCAGTATTCACAGTAATTTTCTTGAGAGGATAAAGTTGAATTATTATCTGGTCGAGTCCAGGCTTCATAGTAACTTGTTGTTATCTGGTCAGATTCTAGGCTTCACCGCGATTAAAGAAGTTAAATTGTTATCTGGTCGGATTCCAGGTTTTGCAACAACTTAG